CCTGGCCTGCTGTGTTCCTCCAGCTCCACACTGTGTTATCTCAGACTCCAGCATCGGCAGTTCTCACTAACTTCACTACCTGACCTGTCCATGGCGACAGCCAGACACATGCATGCCAGAGCTGAAGAACTGGTAGCATTGATGGACTTCTCCAATTTTCAATCCAGTTTACTCATAGGAATTGGCAGATTTGCCAGGGGCAGAGTGTTTCTGTGTTGTTTGATGAAGTCACTAATGGCCAAGAACAGGGGATCATCATCTACCTTGGGCTAAGTGATTGCCTGGTCTCAAGCAGTCCTGGGATGTTCCTTTAACCAGCAGTAGTGATGTCAGAGTGATGTTCTTGCCAGATAGCACTCCCAATTCTAATCTACATAGAGAACCCATTGAAGTGAAAGTCCCTGAACTTGTGTGTGTGTGAGTCTGTGTGTGTGTGGTTGCACATAAAAGCTTTGTCAGTCCATCTTTGGAGGGTTGAGTGGCTTCCCCGAGAGGTGGCGGTTCAACTGAGTGCAGGCAGTGCAGGTTCCTTCTCATTGTCATTTGCTGGGTCCAACCAGTACTTGCGTAAAACAAGACAGGGAACTGGTTGTTTTTAAAAAAAAGGGTAAAATCTCAAGAATGAGTTACCAGTGAGCAGTGCAGCACAACACGTTAATGCTCACTTGCTGGTTACCCATTGAGGTCACAGCCTCACCATATAAGCAGTTGCCCTCTTCTCCAGCTGATTCCAACACGCTCTTCTCATATAGGGTGAGGGATCTAATGTGTGGCACCCCATCAGAAGTCTTCACTATTTCAACCCAGTTAAGAGTTATGCATCAAGTTATACTACACATCTCTTATTCTACTGATTTTTTTTTGCCTTGTGAGACATGACAATCAAGCTGGTCCTCACCTCATGTTCATGCAAGAACACTTTCAGCATTTGAGAATTTGTGGATAGACACAAGGTGGAATTTGATGCCTTTTTCCAAGGTGGGTTTGGAGGCAGAGGAGGCATTTAATCAGGCTGAAGGAAAGGGTGGGGAAACATCACCTTCCCATTTCTGCCCTTCTTAAGACTAGGATAGGATGAAGTGCAAATGGCCTACTTGCCCTGATACCAATTGTGGCCCTTAAGTAGACAATTAATGCCTACTTAAAGATCTCATCCCACTGCCACAGGTATCAAACCAGTGGCAACTGAGCCAGTCATCACAGGCCTTGAGTTTGTTTGCAGGGTCCTGGAAAGGGCTTCTCATCCTCAGGCACTCAGCACACAATCAAAGGACCTGCCATTGCAAAGTGGGTAGTTGCTGGAAACTAGCCCCCAATTAGCCCCTGCCAGTGACGTTCTTCCCGGGACCCTAATCACACTCTAACTCACCCTCAGATTGGGACAATTGCTGATCCTGGGACTCTGGTGGGTGCACTGCCAACATTTAAGATCATTTCTAGTGACAATGCTTACAAAGAACTATTGGCCTCTGATTGGTCAGCACCCAGCAGGAGGGTTTTTGCTTCCAGGTCTTTTTGGTCTCAGGAAAAGACCATTGCTGGCCACTTACGTATCTGATTGGCACATAATAAAGTTGCCTACCCCGAGAGAACCCCATTCCACATCGCCCGAAATAAGACCTGCCCTAGGATTGAGAAACTTAGTTATAATCCAGGGTTACTACTGTGCATTATAGCTCCTTATCACAACCCTTCCAGAGAGCAGTTACTCAGTACATGACAAAGAGATTTAACCTTGAAAATTACTAATCCATACGGATCAATATGGAATAATGTTGTTAAACTATCAGATAGCTGATGTGTAATTCTTGCAACTGTTCTCATAAAAAGCAATTGGCTACCTAACATTTCAAAGTCTTGTTTAAAAGAAAAATCACTTAAGCACAAAAATTCAAATTCTAGCATTAGGGATCATTGAGTAAGACAAATACAGATACTTCCTTAGTCTATCATGCAGCAACAAAGTATTATTGAAAATATTAATATTTTACTATAGTAATATGTTCCTGACAAGGTTTTAAAACTTTAGCCACATAATGGCCAAAGTAGCTCTAAAGTATGAAAATATTTTCATCAATTATTGAATAGTATTTCACGATTAGCCACAAAAACTATGTTTACTTGTTAATATAGTGGTTTGAAACTGGATATTTAAAAAAACAATAAAAGCTAATTACAGAATAATAAAAAAAGCAAAAATGCTGGAATTCTGAAAAAATAGAAAACACTTCAAGTGCACAGCAGTGCAAAAATTCATAAATTGAATACGTAGTTTCATGTTTTGGATCCAAGTTCCACCAGAAGTATAAACCTGCCTTTGTTTTTTTTAAATTTGCCAACTCACCTGTCGCATATGCTAGTATTTTTCTGTCACACCGTAACCTCTGCAGTCCAGAAATCTATTACTAAAAAAAATGCCCAGAACAATTTCACAGAATATTCTTTTGGGCAATGTTACATTTAAGAAACATCTTATGTTTTAGTTGGTAACGAGAGCTGATCTGTTACCAATCCTTTTGCAGTAACAACCTAATCTTTCATAAAGGATCAGCAACCTTACTGATAGCAACTGAAAGAGAAGTCCAGCCTATGAGTGCTCTAAGTTTTCATAGAAACATTTCATGCAAATTTTGGAAACATGCCAACAGCACAGTTGTTCTGATGATCACAGTGACTTTTCTTTTATTTTGCTATCTTTATTACAATTAAGGGCTAAAAAACGATTTCCACTTTGAAAAATACAAATTTCAAACGAAACTAGTTTTGTGAAGGCAGAATTAGAAGCTTTGCTAGTGAGCTAATTTCCTCTTAAATCAAGCTTGTAGGTTAAACACTTGCTGTTTTATATATAACAAATATAAAGAATCAACACTGATAAGAATTCTTAAAAACAAACAGAACATTAAACTGCACGATCGAATCTACTTAACATTAAACATGGTTAATAAAACATGAGTATGCTATTTAATTATGAAATCTGTGCTTTTCCTTCAGCCAACTCCAATCAGAGCATGATTAGGGCAGATTTAACTCAAACATTATTACTGTTAATCACTTCTAGCCAATTACTTCAGTTTAGAAGGCTGCACTAAAGAAGCCAATGCAAAAAGTGTCTTATTTTTGCTAATGTTGTTTGCAAAGGCTGAAAACTTCGAATTCAATCCAGTGCAAATATCAAGATCCTTTACTTGAGAAAATTCCAAGTCAGTGGCTGTGAGGGGATAAATTTGTCTGGCATGAAGGTCTTGGATCAGATACACCTTGAACACATTCTCTGGAAAAATCTGCATTGAATGCCCTCCTTCAAGTACTTTGTCAACCTTAAATTCCTTAATTTTCAATTGTGTCTGAGCGACTACATCAAACAAAGAAAAACTACAATCTCAGGTTGTAGGAAGAGTCTGGTAAACAAAACAGACCTTCCTCAAGGACTTCTTTCAAATTCTAATTTTATTTTATGCCAGTAACAGGAGTGAATAAGGAGCTAAATAAACTATTTTCCTAATAGGGGAGGATAATTATGTTCACAAAGGCATCTCTGTGTTGGGTTGAAAACAAGGAGCCAGCAGGTCTGGTATTACTGATTTAACCTCATCTGCAAGCGAACATACATTTGTCTATTCGGGAGACAAATCTAGAGTGATAAATAAGGATTCAACTTCTAGTGATAGAACCAGAATGGTTCTCAAAATTATAAAATACACACAAATTATCACTTACATTTAACACTTGTGTTTTAAATCTTTACTTAGCCACCTGAGCTGTGTAAAACATTTGAATTGCTTCAGCAACTTTGGTAAGGTTTGAGTTTCAGAGAAAGCACTCCTAAGACAGGCAACATGCCAAGTGTATCATGTTGCACATAGCCTTT